CCCCCCCCCCCCCCCCCCGCCCCTCCCCCAGTGGACAAATGATGCTGACTCAGACGTGAATGATAATGGTTATTACTATTATGGATGATTTGGGGTTTCGGGTGGCTTTAACACACACACACACACACACACACACACCTCATCTTCCAATTAGAGTACCGTATTTCAACACAAACNAACGAATTATCTATTGTCTGTCTTGTTTCAGATCTACTCCATTATCTACGAATGGGAACGTTACCAACATCAGAGACAGCTAGCGTTGCACCGTCAGTGGACACAACGTATGCGTCAGCAAAAACGCAGACAACGCAGACTAGAGGAGTATAACAGACATCTACGACACTTCGCCTCGGTCCTCGCTCAACAGCATATGAATCAGCTACGAAAAGCTCGAACGTTTGGAGAATTTAAACAAATTATGTTTGATCGAATCACGACCGATACCGACTCCGATCATGTGATCGAACAACCACATTCCCTTCAATCCAGTGCTCTAATCGAATCTTCCCTGAGGTATCCAGATACCGAACATAATATAGTGGCCGCTGCTTCCACTGCATTGGAATTTCCCGGTGGAGCGGGTGGTGGAATAGTTGTGAACAGCTTGCGCTCAACACGGAAAGGTAGCACACGAGAAAGTCGAGCAATCGTAGAACTACCCAGCACGGCCAGTACAGAATCACTGGTGACTGTTAGTGCTAAATCCAGTCAAATTGAACAACCCGAGTCAGTCGATGGGGATCGGAGTGTGCCAGACAGTTCCATTCATCGATTGCTACCTGACGAAGAGGAAGAGGCTCCAAAATGTAAGTACATAGTTTACGGTGAAAGGAAGAGCACAGACAGTCAGTGTTGCGAGGCATCATAAACAACCCTCTGACTATTTTGAAGAAAATATTTCATAAAACTGAGGCAAAGAAAGAGAAAAAGGAATCTCACAAATTTATTTTGCTATTTAAATAGTTTTGGGGGTGTATCGTGGCTTGATGCCACCATTCAAAATGCATCATCTTCAAGCGAATATCTCATGCACTTCGACCGAAGTCCTCCCTGTGTGAATATATTTCATAGTCCAGTTTGATTGCATCTTTCGGGTCAGTGGTTGATGCAACTCACGTCAGTACTTCAGGAAAAACCGACTAACACTTAGCATATGACAAATGTTACTCATGTCGAATAATACACAGGAGCTCAAAGGTGAATATCAAGTTTTTATCTATAGTTTTGTTCTTTCCTCAAGACAGAACAGAATATTTCCACTAACAGTTGCAAACAAACATGATTATTACCACTGTTTAGTGTTTATTTGCTTCTTTTCAATTTTTGACTAAAATTAAAGGTGAGTTCTCAAATTCGAAGAGACATATACCAGAACAGTCCCAAACATCATTTCATTCAGTCCCATCACCTGCTCTCGGTGCTTGTTTGACGGTCTTCTTTTAGATTCTTGAGTAAATAAACAAACACATTGTCAGATGTGTGGGCTTTTCGTTCAAAAATCAGTAGTGGGGTTGACCAGATTTAGTTACTTAGATTAGTGTTGCGCAATCGCAGTGATAAACTGGTACTTGGCTGATTGCTCAGCTACGTCAATCCTTACAAACTAGCCCCTTTAAATAGCCACTCTTGGCCTAAGCGCATAAAAATCACACCATTTGTATTCTTAGAGATGCGTAGATGATCATTGTGTGTACTGAGAGGAAACAAGCAACCGTTTCCAAATCCATTGGCAGTGCTCTATCATCACAGGTTCTACCCGGGCCTGTTTTACATCGTCGATCGACGACAGCAATTATCACCTCTAGCCATATTTGTCTTGATTTTCATCCCTCATCGACCGCGTCATTATCATCATCATCATCATCTACTGAAATCTTCCTTTGCTAAAACCGTGACAGAAGATTTAAAGAGCCCACACGAAATCTGGATTTCATATTTTTGGTGTCCGATAAACCAGCTATCTTGCTCGATGACCTGGTGACGTTGGTGCTCATTTCAAGCGTGTTTTGGTATTAACTCGGGTTAATGCACACTGGCGGTTGATTATCTGTCAAAATTTCCCATTAAAATTTCTTCACCCCACTTCCCGCGATTTTAGGCTCGGTCCAGTCTATTTGTCAAAAAAGTATGATACAGATAAAGGCGTATGACAGATAAATCAAACCATAACTTAGTGGTAGACCAGTTACTCTCAGGTTACTCAATTCAATTAAGGTAAATTTGCGGGGGTTTTACAATCAGAGGCTAAGAGTAGTCGAAGCATGAAAATGAAGAAAGTGTGCACGAGAGCACGTGGGACCCAGGGCCAATCATTTGCACCTCACGTTCCGGGACCCAGGGTCACAGACAATCGAGCTCCTAGGTACAAATACATGGTCATCAGCTATTTAAACAGGCGTAATCAATTGATCCAAAATTTCCCTATCTACCCGGGGATTACAAAAAAAGGAACAGCTAACTGAACTTTTCGAATTTTATGGCTATCTGAACAAGGGCTTGTCACCGACTCTCGACTTGCACGTAACATGCTCTGGCTTGCACCCCCTTGAACCACTTGGTTCGCAGTGCGATCCTCTTGGTAAGAGAACTCATCAGATTAATGTTCCGCCTTGTCTATAATGCCTTGAGTATTGCTTGTATTGATTACGTTGCTTGTCTTTGGTTGAGAAACGCATATCTTTTATTTTTTGCATTAATCAAGCCGTTTATAAATCTGAATAAAGGAGAGTAACTATGCGCAAAAAACACGTTGGAGAAAGCATTGCTACAGATACAAGGTGTTATATGCCGTACTCGCCAGAGCCACAAATAGGCCCTGGTTGTGATGACACCAGTTGTTGGCCCAGCAACTACATCAACTGACAGGAGTGGATATAAGTAGGTTCACAAATGTCTCATTGGGCCGTCAATATGAGTCATTCATGGAATTATTATTCCACGGTTACGTTTGATAGAAATCAAACGTTCTCTAAGAGGGAGCATTGAGAAATAAACACTAAATTTCCATTGGTAAAATCTTAGTATAAAAGGAAGAAAATAACTAATTGATAGATAAGTGGTTCATTTGTGCTCTGCATAAGTAAAACCGGTCGGGAATCCTGTGAAAAAAACGAACTGGATAGCAACAAGCTAAGTTAGTATTTGTGTACTGTGAGCAGGGAAAGTTAAGGGGAAAAATCTACATCAGTGCCATTAAAAGTGGAGTATCTTAATTCTAATGCAAGACAGCACGGAAAAAATCTTGTGTATGGATGCGATTTGCCAAGAATCGTGGAGGACTTACGTGCTACCGATCGATCGGAACGAAATGTTTGCGAATATTCCCCCAGAATGGCTACATTTTTCTAAAACAACAACCACCATTCATAGATTAAAATGAAGTTAAATTTGCATAGCTGAAGACGAAAAATATATCTTACAGGCCATAATGTGATTAACAGTAACATGAGTTACTCGCATAGCCACGAGTATCTACTGCTCACTTGCGATAACGGGGATTTGGACTGAAAAGAAAACATATTAGGCCTCACCAGGGCCCCATGATATTGAAACTGGGGAGAGCGCTGCGGCATACCAGTAAGGTTCGAACCTTGGACCAATTCAAAAATTCCACCAGCCACTTTCCTACAAATTAGGTTGAAATTCAATATATCTAAAATCTTTCTTTTTTTGTAATTAACTTACCCTGGTGCTATCTTAAACACACTGTTTTTGTGCAACCTGAAGCGCTGCTCGACCACAAACTGGAGGCTTGTTTACCGGATAACGAAACGGTTTGAGAAATCACAAAATTGTATGTCTCGTTCCACCTAAACTGATCTTTTGTTCCGACATGATTGATGCATCAAGTCAATTTGAGTATGTAGTACGATGTATTCTATAGAAATTCCAAGCGAAAGTAGAGTGAAAATTTGGTTAGTATTGTGAAGTTTTTTTACCTTCCTTAACCTCCTCGGCACTGCGAATCCATCAAACCAACTCTGAATTAATTCCACGCTATCGCGGACAGATTCCAAGTATACTACCTATCTGACCCGGCTGTTTGCGTTTATGCATACAGGATAGAATACGGTACATTTGTGCTAGCATTTAAAGTGTAATTCATCTTGCCTATCGAATCACTTTTCTCTCTGTTCCGACCAACTGCATTTTTATCACTTTCTTCGCGTTAGAGGAAATCTGGATCCAATTTTATCTTGTAGCAAACAGGTGACTGAAACGTTTCGCTCGAAAGACACCCGAATCAAATCTGACAAGTTTGAATTCCCAGTCGCGGTCAACTCGTGGAATAAAATGCCCCTGATGCGCACAAAAAGGTTGCAAAATCGACGAAATTTGTTTTTCATGTTGTGTTAAGCGTTTACGTACAAGGTTCGATTGGCCCTGTCATTACTGGATGACACAAACTGGTATTGTGTGTGTGTGTGTGTGTGTGTGTGTGTGTGTGTGTGTGTGTGTGCAAGTCGTGCGAAATTTCAACTTCGATTTGCGTGAACGTTGTGTGTGCACATACACAAAAGACAAACAACATCATCTTATATCACCCACCGGTCCCATGATTAATTCAACTTGGTGAGCAAGTTCCTGATGCGAAGAATAGAAAAACATGTTGATCTGTGGTTCTCTTCCGGATGGAAATGCTCAGATTTCGATCAAAGTACACCTGTCCATAAGGTACCCAATAATAATCTCAAGACTACTTTACTATCCCCTCGGTAGATTTCATCGGTAAAAGGTTATTTCTATGGTAGCGTCATGATGAGTATTATGGCAGCCTATGCTCAGAACAACTCTGGAGCACATCACTATTCTATTCGACCAACCCCTACTAACCAGCTTCTGTCAATCGGAATGTATCACACACACAGTGAATTATAAGCTTGCCCTAAACGCTTAATACACGGTGATGTATGAAACTGCCAAAATGGTTCATGTACTCTGACTGATAATTTCTCTCCCCAATGATAAGATTTGTATTCCCGTTATCCGATCGATTTGATCGTGGCCTATTCCATTTCATTACCAACGCCGTCCAACCCAGTGTTCTTTTATACTTGACCTATTGACAGGTTTTCCCTTTCACAACCATAGCTGTGATGAGCGTTCAGTAATTTGATTCTCTCTCAACTAAAAAATCAATCATTTATCGGATTAGTTATTTAGTTAGTTCATGTTTTACCTCAGATAACTGTATTCTGGCATTCGACGGGCGATCGTGCCACTTGCAATCCAATGTCATTCCCATGTTCCTACCGATTTGAGTTGCAAACTCTTTTTATTGTCTATGAAACTGATCATGTCTCTTTCTGATTTGCACCTTTACGGTTCAAGTGTTCAGAGAAGACGATGACCATTAGATTTAATGGAGGCGTCCAGTTACTATAAATGTCACCCGAATTCAGATGGTGACAAATTGTTGGTTTGTCATCTGTGAAACGACCCACTTGTGTATCTTTTGGTCCGTGAGAAGCACGCAATCCGAGCTGCCCACACGAATGATTAAGCTTGTGCGTCATGAATGGCTGCACATCGGAGCAAAGTCGTGATTGCACTTACTCATGCCTAATCAACCGGTTGATGCAAGTCAAAAAGATGCATTCACGCATCTCGTTCCCAGTTGAATAAACAACCATCCGGAATCAGGTCTAAGCCGTAATTTTTAAAGCTATATTTGATAAAACTTGATCGCTCGGTTAGTGATGATGATGACCCATATGATTGTGACGGTGTTGATGAAAATAAAAACTAAAATGATACTGGGTTGCCCAGAATAGTCATCATTTATTGTGCCAGTCTAAACGTAATTCATTGGCTGCTATAAGCACCGGAAGATGTTAGTTTGGCGGTATTGATCCCAGTCGCATCGATCAAGAGGGCGTGTTCAAATCTTACTGCCAATACCGCCTGAGCGTATCCGTTTCATTTGATAGCTCCTTTGATCGATCGCTTTATCCTTCCTGAAACATTACTTGTATTCATGAAACGAATTGATAGAGAGTATAAAAGGAAGGACAAAAAAGGATGTTGGTCTTGGAGGAGTACGGGAGGGAGAAGTAAGCATTTCAACAATAATGTAATTTTACTGACAAAATTGGACTGGTTGATCTAATTTGTTCTCAGTTCAGTTTTACTCACCCAATCATTTCAACTTTGCTTGCGCAAAACCTCATTTATTTTTTGTTATTATTCTTTCCGAACATTTACGCACGAACAGATTCTGAAGCTGAACTACGAAGTGCATTCGAAAGCTACCAAGAATTTCGGCGTAGTGCCTGTCAACCACGGAACCAGACGTTGTGCGTTCGTTCTTTGCTAGACTTACAGCAGGAACATACTACCGTAATCATTCCTCGCGGTTTCCACGTGCGTCGCTGTGGTTCTCAAATCCAGCCAGTTTGTAGCTACCACAGATCGACAATACAGACTGAACTGGATCGGGAAGAATCGGATATGGGGATGAGTGAAGGCAACCGACTCGATGGGGCAGGTCCCACTACATATCGACCTGACGAGAGTGGAGGTGGTGGCAACCCAGGTTCGGATTGGTATGGTTATCCGCATTCATCCGCCTCGATCGCGGAAGCTGCAGAGCACTTGGAATATGCCATGGATCGAGGTCAATACTCATCCTGTGAGTGTGAAACAGCGGAAGAGGAATGTCTGCCAACAAATGTCACTTTGAAGATCCAAGCCGTTGCTGTCAGTCGGGTACGTTCAACGAACCAAGGGTATAGTATGCTTTTCTCTATCATTTTCGGTTCTAATTCTCGTAGACTGCTTCCGTGGTGCATCACCGAGGTGTTTAGGTTTTTCTTCACTTACACATTTTATAGAAAACCTAAATGTGATGGCTTAAGGGAAAAAGTTGGTTGATCCAACTACTTCTGTTGTCTGGTCAAGGGTTTGAAAACAATCACATTTTATGAAGTTTGTCAGATCTTTTAGCTAGAAGTTTAGTAATTAGGAAGCATTCGATGGGCGTCATAAGTGGTTCGATTGAAAAATGGTTGAAGGATTTGAGTGCAAAAAATAGATCGGGTTCAACCATTCGCACGAAACAAACCGATATCAGCAAACGAAAGTGACGTAACGTTCCTGCTTTTTTTCCATAATAACCTCGTGTTGCGGACTGTTTAGCGTTCTGTTGTTCAATCCGCAGCAGGCGTTTGACTTAACGAATCTCATTCACAGCCCCCCCTAATTCTAAAATTCAAAAAGGAGTGAGGTGGTACATCAATTTCCCAACCACTTGATGGTCTGTGTTCAATCAACGGAATCATGCATGCATCCTCTGGGCGAATAACCCTATCCCGGTGGTGGTGGGGCGGTGGTTCAGTTCACCCCATCGAGCCGGGTCTCATATGTCCCGAAATCATGGTGAATGGTTTTAAATAAAGGTTTTCCAACTTTGTCTAAACAGTCCCACAGAGCACATTTACAATAGAAAAGAGAATGGCAAACAAGCTGGTTTGCAGTGACTCCTAGTCATGCCAATAGATCACAACAAATATCACCTGTTTAAATGTGTGCGTAATGTATTAAAAGCCAACTGTTTTGGAAAGGAAAAATCGACATCATAAATTATTTGGGGCTAATTTCGTCTTCGACCCGGATATTGGATTTTCAAATATCACAACTGTTATGTCATTCAATCGTTGGGACTATTTGGGATATGGGGGTGGGTGGCTCTGTGGACCGATTGAACTTAAGCTTTTGAAAAAAATTTGGAAACAGAGTGGGGGGGGGTGCAGACGGATTACTAACGCTTCTGGTGTGGCAAGCATAAGATATCCAACTTGCCTTTCAACTTCAGTAGACGAGCTAGATACCACTGACTTGGCAATTCAGGTATAGCTCTGGAGATTAAATTTTCCCTTTCTCATTTGTGAGAAAACTTTCTCTTGGCTGTAAGGTCATGAGTGCATGGGGTTGGCTGAGCAAATATTGGGAATGCCCATCAGTGGGAGGCATTTGTAGAGTAATCTTGGGGACGGCGACATCTACTCACAGTTAACCGCACTGAGGAGTTTGACAGTTTGCACATACAAAGAGTCATATATAGTTCCAGGTTAGAAAAGACAGCCCTAACTGGCTTGAACCCGTTTGGGATTCGGTCAAATTCAAATCAGTAATTTCTGTCGTATTATATGACTGTCCTCATACTACTTTAGATGAGGTTCCTGTTACACTGATTTATACTCTCTTAATCCCTTACCCTATTTGAGCTCGAGCTTGAGCTTGAGCTGCAAGCCTAGCGGTTGGACCTGCGCCTGCGCTACACCGGTCGCGGTTTGNTAGCATATTGTCTTTTCGATGTCAAGTACCTTCGGGTTCTTTGACCATGAGCGGTATTCCTATTGCCCTCTCCACATCCGTTCTTGACCTCCGACTCAGCTACTCCTGTTCTCTTAACTTCTCTGAGCATTGGGTTTTCCCTTGCATATTTTCGTTTGGTTTTGATCATTTTATAGTTATTCATCGGTTTTCTACCCAATGTCGCTAGATTATTGTAACATTTCTTGTAAGGTTTCTTGTATTGCTTAGT